GCCCTATGTTTGCTTTAGTCTTAATGTAGGAGGGGGATTTTACAAAATCACAGAACTCACTGAGGGCTTTTCTGCCCTGGTTCCTGCCTAGGATGATAATCTTTTTGTTGAGAGAAGTGAGGAGGAGCCTAAAGGCTTTTCTTAAGCCCTTAAATCTGCTTTTTTTTTTTTCTGTCAGTAACTGGCTCTGAGTGTGCATCAGGATTTTATCTGTTTTCTGTGACAGTCATAGTTTTTGGCCTCTGAGCTTGATGGTTGCCTTGCCACAAGATCTATTGGGGTAGTGGAGAGTGGGATTGATATAAAAGAGTAGATAGTTATAGAGCCAATGGCATTCTAGAGAATATCTCCCCTACCACCTCCACCCAGTAGGACTTAATTTTTTGTAAAACACTGTGCCTATATAAGCAAAACAGCGCTTTATGGAATTTTTTTTTTTAATTTTCTTTTTTAAGGATTTGAACCCGTGGCCTTGGTGTTATCAGCACTGCACTCTCCCGAGTGAGCCACGGGCCGGCCCTGCTTTATGGAATCTTGTTGACTCCTAATCTGATCTAGGTAGAAGTTATTTGGGGGTTGGGTTGGGGGCATGTCTCATCTTGATTTTTTTTTTTTCTGGGCTCTCTCCAACTTTTCTCTCAAGTGACTCCTAATTTAGTCAGTTTTACATTCAGACTATGGGCATATACATGTACGTGTACGTTGAGGCAGCCACATGTGTGGAAAGTGTGGAAACTGAAGACTACTTTTGCCCTGGAGGCTCTTTTAGTGACTTTAAGTATGTGTTTAGTTTTTTTTGTAAGGTATGTTAAATTGTATTTCAAAAAAGCTATTTAAAAAAAAATACATCTTCATGTAATAGTTCTGATAAATACCTTTTACTTCATTTTGATGTATACTTTCAGGGCTGGCCAGTTAGCTCAGTTTGTTAGAGCATAATGTTGGTAACACCAAGGTGAAGGGTTTGATCCCTGTACTGGCCAGCCACAAAATAATAAATAAATAAATAAAATAAAATGTCCACTTTCAGTAGTCAAATCCCAGAAGAAAGTGGAGTATGTTTAACTGAAAAAGCTCATATTTCCATGTAAATTTAGCCTATTATTTTTGACAGAAAGTAAGCAAACTAATGTTGCATGATAAACCCTCCCCCACCCCTGCTTCAAGTATTTGAATTATATGTTAACATCCCTAGGGCACAAGAGAGTCTAGATTAGTGCTTTTGAAAATGTGGGTTTTGACCCAGTGAGCAGAAAATCAATTTAGTTGGTTGCTACCAACAAAAAAATAAATTTAGATAGAATAGAAAATATAGAATGCAGCAGCACACATTAGTAATAGTCAGTATTGTTCATTGTTTCATGAACTTTCACTATATTATATGTACATTATCTACCGTGCTCCAATTTATTTATTTATTTGTTTGTTTGTTTATTTTTTTGAGGTGACAACTCAAGCTATGGGATCTGAACCTATGGCCTTGGTGTTATCAGCACCGCACTCTCCCAAGTGAGCCATGGGCCAGCCCTGCCGTGCTCCAATTTAAAACAAATTTCTTAGTGGGGTCATAACCAAAATAAAATTGAGAAATAATGTTCTGTTGGGTTTTTTTGGCAGCTGGTCTGTATAAGGATCCAAACTGTCAACCTTGGTGTTACAACACCACGCTCTAGCTAACTGAGCTAACTGGCTAGCTGAGAAATAGTGTTCTAGATCCCAATAGTAGTCCTCTGATGGACAGATGTTCTCACTAAAAGGGACTCTGTGATTGACTATATCTAGGAAATTATGCATATTATATCCCCCTTTTGGAGATTCACAGTGTGCATTAATAAATTGTTTAAGAAGTCTTGCTATTAAATGTTTACAAATTTACTGACCACAGAATTTTTTCCCCAATATATAATGCCTTTCAGCATCCTGAGGAACTAGTTTTCAGAGGAACACACTATGGGAAACTTTGATCTAGGTGTGTTGTCATGAGCAAAAGTTTTATCCATTCAGTCTGGAAGCTTTTGTATATAGAATCTGTGGCATTCTAGAGAGTATTCCTCCTATTACCATCACACAGTAGGACTTGATTTTCTGTCATAGGGATAAGTGGGTGGTAGGTACCATATCGTGGGTTTTGAGAAGGGTGAAGGTGGGACATAGGGATAGAAGTACCTTTTTCTAGAATCATGCTGTGAGGAAGTGCTATTATAGTAGGTAGAATTCCTTTCTGAGAAAGGAGCTATGAGTGTGACCAGGGTCCTGATTACTGAAATTCTAGTAGGTAGAATTCCTTTCTGAGAAAGGAGCTATGAGTGTGACCAGGGTCCTGATTACTGATTACTGAAATTCTTTTTTTTTTTTCTTCCTTTTTCTACAGATGTGGGACCTAGGAAAAGGCCTGAAGATTCCCCAGCTAGAACAGTCTGGAGTGGTTGTCTTGGTTCTTACTGTGTTATCTTCTGCAGGGCTGGCAGCCATGTGAAGAAAAGCTGAAGTTCCCAGTATCATCTTTCGACAAATTATAACATTGACCTATCTTCCTGTTTGTCACTTATCTTTAGTCAGGGCCCTGATTTGTTTAGATCCTTTTGTGCTTGTAGATCCCCTTGGAGCACAGTAGCAATAGAGTACCTTCTGGAACCATAGTAGTGGAAAAAGGTCCAGTTTTCCCCTTGTTTCTAAAGATGGACTGGCTGCAAAAACTCCCTTTTCCTGTCCACAGCTTGCAGCCTACTCTGGGCCCAGGAGCCCTTATTCTCTTTCCATATTGGGCTTTGATTTGTGCTGAGAGTCAGCTTTTGGCTCCTTCTGACTGAGACATTGGAAACAATGCCAGCTCTGTGGCCTCTGCCCTGGGGACTGGGGATGAGGCTTTGGGTGCCACTGCCTGTGGGTTGCTGGCTTAAAGGACAGTTCTGTTCATTGGTCAGAGCCCAGGGCCTGTAACACCCACACAGGGTAGCTGAAAGAGGAGAGATGCGGGTGGAGGGGAATTAACCTATCCCAGCTAGAGGGAGAAAAAGAGGATAAGTTGGTTCTCAGAGCAGGTGCTTTGGGGAGAAGATATATAGTTTTTGATGCAAGAGGAAAATCCAGAAAGTTATCATTGAATGTATTAAGGTTTATTTCTTTTTCTTGCATTTCTGGAAAAACAAACTTCTTAATGTCATGTTTTATAATCCAAGTTCATGTACCATTATTTTCTGAAACTGAATTAAAATACTCATTTTATCTTTAACTGTCCTTGAAATCTAGAGAAACCAAGAGAATGGCTGTTGGGGAGGAGCCAATTTCCTCCCCCTCCCTCGGGTCTCAGAAATTTACACACAACCCCCTACCCAATCTGATCTTTCCCAGGAGGGAAACAGTTTGTCCTACAACTAACCACTGGAAAAGTTTTCAGGGAATCAAGTACAAGTAGCGAGAGATTTAAATATCACAAAGAAGCCTCAGAGAAGAAAGGAGAAAGAAAGGAAGTTAAGGGCTGGCCCGTGGCTCACTCGGGAGAGTGTGGTGCTGATAACACCAAGGCCACAGGTTCGGATCTCATATAGGGATGGCCGGTTAGCTCATTGGGTGAGCGTGGTGCTGACAACACCAAGTCAAGGGTTAAGATCCCCTTACTAGTCATCTTTTTTTTTAAAAAAAAAAAAAAAAAAAAAAAAAAAAGGAAGTTAAGCATTTTAAGTTTTTCGTTTTTTTCCCCCCCCAAAACCC